TAGCTTCAATTCCTTTACTATTGACTATGAAGCTCAGAAACTTTCCCGCAGATACTCCAAAGGCATATTTAGCGGGGTTGAGCTTCATGTTATATTCCTTAAACACTTGGAACAACATTGTTAGATTTTCGATGTGGAGCTCAAATTTCAATGATTTTACCAGCATGTCATCAATGTAGACCTCCATAGATGTTCCAATTTGCTTCTGGAACATTTGGTTTACCAAGCGCTGGTAAGTGGCTCCAGTGTTCTTCAATCTAAAAGGCATGACCTGGTAACAGTATGTCCTCTACTCAGTCACAAAAGAGATATTCTCTTGGTCATCGGGATCCATCCTGATTTGATTGTACCTAGAGAAAGCGTCTATAAAGCTGAGTAGCTCGTGTCCAGCGGTGGCATCCACAATCAGGTCAATCCGAGGTAAGAAAAAACTGTCTTTAGGGCATGCTCGATTGAGATCGGTAAAGTCGATACAGAGACACCATTTGCCATTGGTCTTTTTAATGAGAACTACATTTGCTAGCCAGGTGGGGTAATCTACCTCCCTCATGGCTTTGGCATGGAGAAGTTTGCTGACCTCCTCATTGATTGCCTTTTGGCATTTTGGGGTAAAACTTCTCCACTTTTGTTTTATGGGTTTACAGGCAGGATTCACACTAAGCTTGTGTGTGTTGAATGAGGGATCGATGCCTTTCATGTCTTCTTAATTACAAGAAAACACTTCCAAATTTATTTTCTAGAACTGGATGAGAAGGTCTTTAATTTCCCTGCTAAACTTAGACACTGCGTAAACAAGGTGTTCTGGCTCCTGGTCAAGCTGAAAAAGTTCCAGCTCTTCCAACGGCATTGGTCTGGTGTCCAGCTCGTCTCTCATGTCGAGCTCGTCCAACTGGATATTTTTAACTTCTTTCTTCTTCATAGATTCCATGTAGCACTCCCGTGCTACATGCTGATCTTGTCGGACCTCTCCAACTCCGTTTTATGTAGGAAATTTCATGATCAGGTGGTAGGCAAAAGGAATGGCTCTCATGGCATTGAGGGAAGGTCTTCCAAGTAGGATATTGTACGCTAAAGGTGCATCAACCACCAAAAATTTCACTGTAGTAGGAGCTATATCGATCCTAGGGGTAATATGCTTTCCCCTAAGAATACCAACAAATGAGCGCGTACTAGCTTGAGCTTTTCTCTGCCTATACCCATCTTGTCAAGTGCAAACACAAAAATGATGTTTGTTGAACTTCCATTGTCAATCAAAACTTGATGGACTGTTCTGTTGGCGACGACTACTCTTACTACCAGGGGGTCATCTTGGGGATGCTGAAAACCTTCCAAGTTTGAGTCTGAGAAAGTGATAGTTGTGTCCAGACATGGTGCCTTGGACATAGTATGCACTTCCAGAGTCTCGTTAGCTCTAATTTTGCGTAGGTGAGCCTTTCTAGCTGAGCTGGACTCCCCGACTCCCGCAAAACCTCTAGATATCACCCTGATCTCCCCTAAAGGCTGCTGATGTTACTCTAGGACCTACGACAGAGGTGCTGGAGGTGGAGGAGCTTGGTTCTGGTTTTCATGGGCTATAAAATAGTGCAGTTGTCCTCACTAAATTAGAAACTTGATTTCATTTTTCAATTGGATGCAGTCGTTTGTGAGGTGGTTGTGGTCCCTATGATATTCACAGTACTTTGTTGCATCTCTTTTTGTCGAGTCTGCCTTCATCTGGGGTGGCCACCTCAAGAACTTCTCATTTTGTACTTTATACAGGACTTGAGATATCATCGTGGTGAGGGGAGTGAGCTGCCGAGGCATATACCTAGGCTGCAATTTTGGCTACAGGGACTTAGACGATCTCTGACATATCCCTTTCTTTTGGGGGAGCGATCCTTGTCTTTTCTTGGAGACCTATCTTGTCCTCTTTCTTTCTTAGGACTTCGTTCCCTCTTCTTCTCTTCCTCTTTTTTTCCTTTTGTGAGGATGAGCTTCCCACCTTAGAGAGGAGGGCTTCCTCGCCATTGATATATTTTTATGCCTTGGCTAGCACTTCTGTCATGCTGGCTTGTGGGTTTTTTGATATGTAGAACATTAGGTCTTTTGACTGTACTCCCTGCTTGATGATAAAAACAGTGATGACAAACTTTTCGTCTGGAACATCTACCTTCAAGGACTTTGAGTTGAACCTCTGGACATAGGACTGCAGGTTTTCATTAGGTCCCAATTTCACATTCAACAGGTGGTAGCTTAGCTTTCAGTAGGTCCGAGCTCCTACGAAATGGGACACAAAAGATATTGAAAGCTCCTGAAGGAAGAGATTGACGTTAGGGCTAGCCTATTGAACCATGGCAAGGTTAAGCCCTTCAGCTCAGGATCACGTTGATTGCATAACAACTACCAGAGTATCACGTTGATTACGCAAGAATCTCTACTGTTACGAAAAGTCACTGTTGTTACGCAAGTATCACGACGGCTACCTAGGGATCACGCTAACTACGTGAAACTCCTACACACTACAGATAGGGACCGATCCCTCGCTTTAGAGAAGAGGAGAATATCTGTAAATTGCACCATCAGCAACTTTGTAATCTTCTTCCAAATAATAGAAAAAACTCCAATAACAAGAGACTCCATTAGAGTGGACTAGCCAAGTTTCTAAGCTGGTGAACCACTATAAATTTCCTGTCTATGTGTTTCAATTGATAGTTGTTATTTCTGTGATTTGTTATTCACCACTATGAGCCTAGTAGCTCAGACTGGTGGCCCAATGAATACTCATTATCATCCTTAATAAATCTTTAACTAATTTATCCCCTTTTTTTTTAGCCCTGAGCTCTGATACATAATAGCGTAAATTTGCACCATCAAAATTCAATACAAATCTTGACATTTGGCATCCCCCTCAAAATTTTGAGCATAAAGAACTGAACCAAATTAACCAAACAGTATCAAGATTTGGTTCTAGAGGTGGCAATGGTGACGTGGGAAGGCAAGAGTTGTTTCCATGAGCTGCTATTCAAAAGCTGATTAAAGGATATTTAAATTATTTGTTTTAGTTTTCGGGGAATGACATTTTATACCTTAAATGATTTTTAAATTTTCAGTTTTTCACCCTAAAAGATTGATATTTTTAATTTACACCGTTAAGATTTAGAATAACTAGAATAAAGTTATGTACAAATAATTAAGCATAAAAATAGCAACACAAAAAATTGTCAAATAAAGTAATAGATTTGTTGGTTTGGATCATATTTATATTGTTATTTCTTTGTCTGATTAATGGTACAATCTAAAAATTTTAATCTTTTAGAATATAAATTGAGAATATGAATATATTTGAGCATGCCAAGTGTCATTCACCCTTTATTTGTTCAACCAAACCATCCTAACTATACTTACCATTTGAGGTGAGGTGATGGTTGCATGAATTCCATGTGTCCCCAATCGCCCACAAAGTAATTGGTCAAATTTTGGACCAAATAAAAAGAAAGTCAGTCAAGTAATAGTCCTACACTACGGGCTAAACATCAAAACTAATTGTAGAGGGGAAACAAATTCCTACACTACGGGCTAAGCATTAGAACAAAATCAGTCATTAGAATATGCCAATTGTGAAGGGAAATTAAGCACACTGTCCTGAAGAGGGGAGGGCAAGGAAGAAGGGAACCATCATTAATTTATCAGGACAAATTAAAAGTTATTTTGTCAAGAAAAAGGTTCAAATTCTCTACTTAAGATTGTCCTATAATGCTGCCTTTTTATTATACATTTATAGGGGTCATGCTTTGATCAAATCGATGGATATATAATACAAATTTGCAGTTACTAATTAAATTCAGCAGAGGTCTCACAAATTAATAACCTAACGCAACTCTCCTTTATTTTGCTTGGGTTTTGGACCGACAATGTTAACATAACATCGCCTAGCAAAAATACAAAAGAACTGGACAGCCGGCATGTCATTTATAAACACCATCCCCGAACCTGCTGCAAAATAAACACAGAATTAATGAGTATGAGTCTAGTTTTATCAAATTTAAGGGATAAGCAAGAGAATCGGTTAGAGTCACTAAATAAATAGATCGACCCTAATCCGACAAAATACGGCACGACTTTGCTCAACATGACTTATAAACAATTTGTATATAATACAAATCGACTTGACATGCACCCAATAATACATGCCATGATTTCAAATGATTCGAATATTGATTTAACTTTTGAAACAATACAACTTAAACAATTAACAACCTATGAGTTGAGTTATAAACGATCCCACTTGCATAAGAAGCCGTACTTATAAATTTAAGTACGGCATAATTTATTGACCTAATTTGTTGACCTAATTCACTATGATATTTGGATTGACTGTGGGCTCCATCAAACATTTAAATTTAGTATTGATCTAATAATTTTACTGAAGCCACATTATTATGTTAACAAATTAGATCAAATTTTTAGGTTTAAATAAAATTAGTCTTCTTAGTTTTGTCAATTTCTCATTACCCAACCTGGCAACTTCTACATCCTAATAGCCTCAACAATCGAGCAAAGCCTTCCATCACATGGCCAGCATCCCATAAAACACGTGTTCGCTTTAAAGTGAGTAACCATAGACTATCACAAGAAATAAGCTCCTAATGCAGAACCATTAAACATAGGCAATCACATGAAATCTCATAACAATTAAACAAATGCACACCAGGGTTCATGTTTAGGCAACATAGAATATTGGATCTTAAACATTGCTTTTACAATCACAGAAAAGGCTTAAAAATTAAAATGGATTGAGAGAGGGAGAGTCCAAAACGATATGACGCAAACATATACAACATCCATGGATAAACTCTATTTCTGTAACATAATTCTTGTTCAAAAGATCACCCAGAATCGCTGAATCAGAAGAGGAAAAAAGGGCCCGGAAAGAGGAGAAAAAGACTGCAGTGAAAGAGAAAACAACGTAAATTAAGGATATTAAAGAATGCCTGCATGCATGTAGAACCAATGCAACGTTCCCTCTCTTCTTTAATCACCTCTTCCACCCTTTAGAAGCCATTTACAATCTTCCTACACGTATGCTTGAACCAGCGAAACCCATTCTTCCAAGAACTCTTAACCTTGCCTTCAACAGCATACAATTTGTATTTCGCAACTCTTTTTTTTCTCTTCCACTCACGGCTATTGAACCATGATGTGGACTTGTACGACGAAACCACCTTGTTCCCCGGGTACATCCCAGATGAGGTTGAGAGAGGTGGGTTGGAACGAACCACAAAGACATTGCTGACGGCATGAGCCTTGCTTTCGACCCCGCGATTCTGTCCGCTGCTCACGTATGTTCGGTGAGCCGACGAGAAACCATCCATTCTACTTTCTTTCTCTCTCTCTCTCCCTGAAATTCTGGTGTCAACAGAGAGAGAGAGAGGATGTTCTGGATTGCAATTATTGAGCTGTTATATATAGGTAGTGAAGGAGAGGTTGAGAAGAGAAATGGTTTTATGATGTTTGACTTGACTGGCATGAAAGGCAAAAAGATTGGATGTATTACACGCAGGGCAAGTTTTCATTGTAGTCTAATTCCACATAATTTTTACATAACAGGTTTGTTAACAATATGGATAATACTGTGGTGTATAAATTTGTTTACCAAATTTTGTATCTCAAGTAATGTATTAAAATCTGATGCATTGAATATTTTGTGAAATTAATGGATCCAACTAATCCAACCAACCACATTGATTTGAGATACAAAATTTAGTAAACAATTTGATCAGCATAGCATTGCTTTTAAATTATATTAGTGTTTACACCCAAAAATAGGAAGATCAAAGAGTGAGATGGTTATAAGGGAGTTTGTGAGAGTCCATCATTGACAGAACGGTTAGAAGAATATGACTCTTAGAATCTCAAGAAACGAGGAAACGTGATATCATGAGTAGCCAATTGAACACGGTTCAGTGCACATTTACACAAATTGAGGGACAAGTTCATGCTGATAGTAATGACCAAAAAAGATGGATCGAAGATTGAAGGCTATCTCTATAAATAGTAGAGTTTAGGTCACTAAGAAGACATTCACAATCAAATCACACAAACTCTTCACATAACCATCCTACCTTATATTTATCTCTTACTTCTAAGCAATTTTACTTTTCATGCAATCATCACTCTAGTGATCTTTTATTGCTTCCATTTAATATTAAGTTTAGTATTTGTTTCGTTTTCGAATTCTATCTACTTTATACTTTACATTCTTGTTGTTCTCTCTATGGTGTATTCCATTACACTTTTATTTGGAAAATTATTGAAAGTTGTAAAGCCATAAGGCATACAAAAGAACTCAGAAGTAACCTTACGACTCGCTACAATTGCCTGAATAGTCATGATTTTAGAATTTCACACCAGTCGAGTAGGTAAGTTCATGCGTATTTGAATTTTAATTCCATTAGGATTTTGGCATGGCCGCAATTCCAAAATACACCAAATATATTTTTTGGCATGCCTGGTGGGACCCTAAAAAGCAACATGGCGAATACCCAAGGGAAATCCAAATTTGGCACATTAGAGGTGCCTCTAGTGCAAGAAGATGTTGAAGAAAGAAGGCTTGGCATCCTCGACTTGTTGGAAAAATTGCCATCACTCGAGGGGGGGGGGGGCAAGAGAACTGTGAATTCGACTTAGAACCGAAGGTTTATTCAAGGCCTAGAGGATTTGATCAGAGACGAATCTGGTCACACCAGACATGCATTGGAGCGGATAGTTGACAGTTTAAGTCGTCTAGGGGGCATGAGACAACCATTGTTTCCCCCAGCACATGCAATGTCACTAGAAGCACTATAGCCAATGCTTCCCCCATACGTGCCACCTCAAAGGGCAAAGCAGACGAGGAATAGCCATAGGCAAAAAAAAACCATCCTCTTTTTCAGGAGGAAGTGGTCACCAATCTCAAGGTTGGGGGACAAAGGAGGCAGCCACCGGTCGTTCTTCCAGTGGTACCCTAAATGGTCATGTACAGAGACCAACTAGATGAGATCACCCAAGAACATGTCCGCCCTCGCTATAAGGATCATCACTAGGTCTACATATCGAAAACCATATTTTGGCTGGGTGAATAGGGATTATGAGTATCCTTTGGGATACAATGTCCTTGTGTTCACCACATTTTTAGGAGAAGAAGATCAATCAACCATGGGGCAAATTGGCTATTTAACTGTACAGTGCGGTGAAGTAGAGGCTAATGAGTTTTGAAACTAAGGTTGTTCTTCAATTCCCTCATGGGAATGACCTTTAGAAGGTACATCGATTTATTGCCCAATTCTATGCTGGGCTGGCAATAACTTGAAGACAAGTTTCACGCTCAATTCTATCTCATTGAGCTAGAAATGACCATGCTAATTTGGCCAAGTTATACTAGGTGACTGGGGAAATGGTAAAACAACACGTGATATATTTCAAAAAGGCCAGGAATTGATGTAGGTTGGTGTTGCCCGAGATGAAATATGTGCGCATTATGTAGAACAGTTTAAGTTTCAAGCTCTGGAAGAAGTTCAAGGGAATGAAGTTCAACGACTTGTTCAAGTTGGCAACACAAGCTACATGGTCTCAACAAATCCCGTATGAATAGTTGGACCAATAGAATACATCCAAAGGAATGTACTACAGGGATTCTAACACCAAAATATTCATGGTCGAGCCAAACTAGGATTTGGAGGTGAATATGGTAGAGATTGTGGTGAGACAGTCCCATGTGTTCAAGGCCTTGATATGGCCTCCAGAGAGTGAAGCACAAGCCTCGCCAAATGTTTAAAAGGGAACCAGTGAAGAAAAGGCTGAAAATATGAGTTCGACATTACAAAGGCAGATCAAATCTTTGATCATCTATTATCTAACAACATTATCAAGCTAGCGTTCGATCAAAGATTCCATCAGTTGCAGAGTTGAAGAACAAAACATACTCTAAATGACACAATTTGTGGTGCCATTCCACTACTATCTGTGTGGTGTTCTAGAATGCCATCTAGGACGACCTAACCAAAGGACATCTGATCTTCTAGGATAAAGGGAAGTCAGATTTGGGGGATGATGCAAACCTTTTCCAAAAGACGCCACCATTAACATGGTGGAAGTGGTGCAATCGAAGAGCCTAAAGAAAAAAGATAGACTTAGATGAAGACAGGTCGACTGACGAAGACAAGCCCAGGAAAGGGAAAGATAAACATTTTCTAGGAAGAGTCGTTAGAGTAAGATTGGGGCAAGCTGTATATCTCATCGTGTCTCTAAGAGTAGCTTGACAGATTATATCCCATACACAAGGCCATTTGTAAGATCATCCCAGACAAAGAGGAGTGAGAGGAATCATCCAAAAGGTCGCGGAAGAGATGGCATTACAAATGAACTCATTGGGAGTGGCCAGGTGAGTGGTCGTTACCAAAGAGGGATTAAATGGATCAGCCTAGCATATTTATGCAGCCGAGCTATAGAGAGCACAATAGAGACATACCAGATCCATCAAAGGTTCAGCATGGGCCAAGATATGAAGAATTTGCTACAAAAATAGCACCCGGTAAACCCATCAGAGCCTAGGGTTGTTAGGACTGACCGAGGATGGTGAAACCAACATAGCCATTGGAGGGCCATTGGTACATAACCCAACATCTAAAATTTCTATAGTACCATTGACTGCATCCACAATCTAGAAGTCAGAAGCGTAGGAAGCATCGTGTTCAAGTAGAGCTTCGCAAATGGGAAGAATCTCAAGAAAAGGAGGCCCACAAAGGGAAATGAAAATTTTAGTGACATTACCTTAAATAGGGGAGGTTAATTCCCAATTTGGTACCCAATCACCTCCACAATGCCTAGTGGCTTTGAAAAGGGCCATAGTTGAGGAGAAGGAGAAAAAATAAGCAGAACATGAGTCCCACTCGAAGAAAGCATTAGAGAGCGGATGGTGAAGAAGATGATAGAGTGTATGAGAATTGCACTAAACATTGCTCCACATACTTATAAAGGGGACAAGAAATAGGACCCTAGTGACAAAGATGACAGAGATGGAGGCGATTACATCTAGTTTGGCACGTTGGGGCAATCGATGTCCAACAATGCCCTCGATTTATTACCAACATCGTTCGGTAGTCCAGGGACACAAGTAGAGTCTTTCGAGGGAGATGTTAAAGATGTTGAGGCACCAGGGTCGACATTTCTGGAGGAGTAAAAGTCATCTAAAAGTAAGATATAGCGCTTTACAATGTTGGTGAAGGAGGAGATTGAGTGCCTTCTAAAGACAAAGGGCATCTAGGTGGCACGGTACGTAGAATGGGTATCCAACATCGTGCTAGTTAAGAACAAGACTGACAATATCAGGGTTTGCTGCTACTATTGTGACTTAAACCTTACAACTCCCAAAGATGAATATGTCATGCCATTAGCTGATCAGCTCATAGACGCGGCAACCATGAATGTAATCATGTGATTTATAGATGGTAACGTAGGCTACCATCAGATCTTCATCACAGAGGACAACCAACACAAAACTATTTTTTGATGTGCTGGGTTAATTGGGATGTTCAAATGACGAGTTATGTCATTTGGACTAAAGAATGTAGGGGCCACATACCAAAGAGCTATGAACACTATCTTCCACGACATGATCACTACAATTGTAGAGGTATACATTGACGACATCATAGAAAAGACGCAAGACAAAAAAAGGCTCCTTAATGATCTGAGAATGGTTTTTGAGAGGATGCATGTTCACCAACTGAAGATGAGCCCACTGAAGTGTGCCTTTGTGATTACAGTGGAGAACTTCCTTGGATTCTTGGTACACAAAAATGGAATTGAAGTAGACAAAAACAAGGCGAAGGCTATCATGGAGGTTTCGCATTCGATGACCAAGAAAAAGCTTCAGTGCTTGATTGGTTTAGTCAATTTCCTTCAACGATTCATTGCCAACTGCACAGGAAAGTGCAGACATTCTCACCGCTCTTAAAGCTAAAGGGTGCAGAAGACTTTAGATGGGATCACACAATCAGAAGGCTTTTTTGCCAAATTAAGGACTATTGTACCTGTTTGTCTCACACGAATCTATTGGGTGTTTGTTGGCTCAAAATAATAATATAGGCAAAGAACAAGTCGTTTATTATTTAAGTAGAATTCAGACTCTAGACGAGCAGTGTTGCCTATCGATAAACTTTGTTTAGTATTATTGCACTTTGCATTGCAAAATTTAAGAATTTATATGATTTCAGTTGTTGTGTATATTGTTGTTAAAATTGATGTGATTAAGTAAATTCAAACCATTTCAATCGACAAGTGGGTTTTGTCCTTAATGATATTCTTGCTCCAATATTTGTTGTAGTGCATGATGAAAGGCCAATCATTGACCGATTTCTT